CTATCTGAATAAATGTACCTCATGTACTATCTTATTTTAAACTCCACATCCTCTGTGAAATGATAAATTTAATCTCTAAGTTTTTCATCCACTAACTCAATATATTTGGTGACACCTACTAGATGACAAAAAACCTACAAAACTCCTTCTGGGAAGAAGAAAAACATATGCCCTAAACGGATGACATTCCAGCGTGTACCATGTCAAAAGAAGGCTTCAGAGCAGGGCAAACACTTGTCTGTGACAATCCATTAGCAAGTTAGAGTACGGTGCTGAATCATTCACATATCTTCCATTTGAGAAACCAGCGGAAAAATAACTGTAAGTCTTGGGAAAGAAAAAGCAAAATAACAAGAAAAGCAATACAGAGTGGGATTAAATACACCAGCACTGCAATTTCATGCTGAGTTCACAGAACTATTTCAAGCAGCATTGCCTCACTCTGCTTTGACAACTCTGCAGGCTCCACACACTAAATTATACATTTTAATTTGGTCTACGAAGTGACCTCCTTTGGTTGTGCACAGTATAAGAGCACTTTGTTTCCTGGGAAATCTTCGTGTCTTCCATTTCCTCTGGCAAAGACCAGGCTAACATTCTCTCCAAGTGCTACAGCAATTTCTTCCCTCTTTTTGCAATAAGCAGCTACATGATTTCAGTCTACCCAAAATAGAAATATCTGTTGTATCTCATAATGGAAAATCATTGCTTTTTACTAAATGCTATTCAATACTCATATTTCACCAATGCCTAAAATAACATCCAAGAATTAGCTGCAGTCATTCTGTCTGCTTACTATAGATTTTCTAATTGATTTTGGCCCTAAAAGGCTAACGTGAAGCTTTATTTCCTCAGCCATTGGCACAGTCATGCCCTATCTGACTCCATCTGAGCCCACTACTCCTAAGACATATTACTATAACTTCTATTATTAAACTGGAAGTTGTCCATTGTCCATTCAGATTCAGGCTCTACCCTTTTCTGTACACCACTCTCTAAGCATTAAAAAACTGAGTGTTATGAATTCAATCAACAAGCTCCCTTGAACTCTGGCTTTTACCAGCTTTAGCTATTGGGAAATACCAGCAGCAGATGGGAGGGCAAAATGGAAGAAGGGTCAGGATATTTATTCCCTGGCTCTTTCCTTCCAAGGCTATGGTTTTACAGTAGGTGTGTCCTCTAATGAAGACCACAGCTCCTCTTGGGTAGCCCTCCCCCAGCTACAGGTGTTTCTTCTGAGTACCAGTTACTGCTTTCTCCAATTGCTTTGAATTCTGCCTCTTATGTTTGAT